CCACACTCACTCACCACTCACCACACTCACTCACCACACTTACCACACTCACTCACCACTCACCACACTCACTCACCACACTTACCACACTCACTCACCACACTCACTCACCACACTCACTCACCACACTCACTCACCACACTCACTCACCACCCTCACCACACTCACTCACCACAATCACCACATACACTCACCACACTCATCACCACTCACCACACTCACTCACCACACTCACCACACTCACACTCCACACTCACCACTCACCACACTCACTCACCACACTCACTCACCACACTCACCACTCACCTCACTCACCACACTCACCACCACCACACCCACTCACCACTCACCACACTCACTCACCACACTCACTCACCACTCACCACACTCACTCACCACACTCACCACACTCACTCACCACACTCACCACACTCACCACACTCACTCACCACTCACCACATCACTCACCACAATCACTCACCACACCACCACACTCACTCACCACACTCACTCACCACACTCACACTCCACACTCACTCACCCCACTCACTACACTCACTCACCACATCACTCACCACTCACCACATCACTCACCACACTTACCCACTCACTCACCACTCACCACACTCACTCACCACACTTACCACACTCACTCACCACACTCACTCACCACACTCACACTCCACACTCACTCACCCCACTCACCACACTCACTCACCACACTCCTCACCACACTCACCAACTCCTCACCACACTCCTCACCACACTCACCACTCACCTCACTCACCACACTCACCACACTCACTCACTCACCACTCACCACACTCACTCACCACTCACCACACACTCACACCACACTCACTCACCACTCACCACACTCACTCACCACACTCACCACACTCACCTCACCACCATCACCACCACTACACTCACCACTCACTCACCACTCACCACACTCACTCACCACACTCACCACACTCACACTCACACACTCACCACTCACCACACTACAACTCACCACACTCACCCTCACACTCAACACTCACCACTCACCTCAATCACCACACTCACCACACTCACCACTCACCACACTCACTCCACCTCACCACACTCACTCACCACACTCACTTACCACACACACCACTCACCACACTCACTCACTGACCACACTCACTCACCACTTCCTCACCACACTCACTCACCCACTTACCACACTCACTCACCACACTCACTCACCACACTCACTCACCACCCTCACCACACTCACTCACCACAATCACCTCATACACTCACCACACTCACTCACCACACTCACCACACTCACACTCCACACTCACCACTCACCACACTCACTCACCACACTCACTCACCACACTCACCACTCACCTCACTCACCACACTCACCACTCACCACACCCACTCACCACTCACCACACTCACTCACCACACTCACTCACCACTCACCACACTCACTCACCACACTTACCACACTCACTCACCACACTCACCACACTCACCACACTCACTCACCACTCACCACACTCACTCACCACAATCACTCACCACACTCACCACACTCACTCACCACACTCACTCACCACTCACTCACCCCACTCACCACACTCACTCACCACACTCACTCACCACACTCACCACACTCACCACTCCACTCACCACACTCACCACTCACCTCACTCACCACACTCACCACACTCACTCACTCACCACTCACCACACTCACTCACCACTCACCACACTCACTCACCACTCACCACACTCACTCACCACACTCACCACACTCACTCACCACAATCACCACATACACCACCACACTCACTCACCACTCACCACACTCACTCACCACACTCACCACACTCACACTCCACACTCACTCACCCACACTCACTCACCACACT